CGAACACTTGGAAGGATTTGAACAATTTTGCCAAAGCAAAGTTCTAAAATGACATAAGTTTAGCCTTTTATATAAAAAGAGAAACAATTGTGGTCATTGGATCCAGGCCCATTGAATCTGATCCGTCCAATCTTATGCCACATCTGAGCCGTGGAATTTAAACGATTTATTCCATCACGCCTCAGATCAATTAGTGGTTAACACTCGACTACCTCGGCGCGTGAATCATTGCCACAAAAACGTGTTGCCATCATTAGCTACCATTGAATATTCAATGTGACAGCTGTACGTGTATTGAAAGTTGTACCACTTCTGCTGTCTCGCCTTGATAACGTGCAAAACTTTCAAATTATATGCACAAATATCAAGGTCAATCAATTTATTAAATCAACCTCGACAGTTTAGCGTTTATCTGCCTTAGCTTCAAATAAATTCAGCTGTCTTCNTGCACAAATATCTAGGTCAATCAATTTATTAAATCAACCTCGACAGTGTAGCGTTTATCTGCCTTAGCGTCAAATAAATTCAGCTGTCTTCAAATAAATTAGCCTTGATAATTCAACTTTCATCTGCCCCCAACTTCAAATAAATTCAGCTATCTTCAAATAAATCAGCCTCGACAGTTCAACATTCTTCTGCCATAGCTTCAAATAAATTCAACTATCTTTAAATAAATCAGCCTCGTTAGTTCAGCATTCATCAGCTTCAACTTCAAAATAAATTCAGCTATCTTCGAATCAACTCAATATCGGCAGCCTGGTGTTCTTTATTGCAAAGTGAGCCAATTCTAAATCAAATATTAATTCCACGTATGGTATAAATATCTTTCTTTGAACTTGGGGAACTAGTGTGATGAATCAGAAATTTCAAAACCTTTTATGGCATCTTGCCCAAAAAGATACTTCGTTTATTACTCAATTCTACGCATGTTATAAATAATCACACATGGACTTGGGAGGACTATTGTTATGACTTGTTACTGGCATTGCCACGTAGTCAAACTAGCTAAGTCGTAGACCCACTCCTACCAAACCGCGAGCCATAAAAGACGAGGTCCTGGGGTAATGTCCGAGGCCCGACTAATTCGAAGTCGATATGTCGAAGTGGCATAGATCCGAGGCTCCACCGGCTAGTGATGGCCCACCTACGTATGACCCTTGTAAAAAGTGCATTCATGTCTTCTCTTGTCAATAGGGCGTAAGAGCATTAAATGCTTAATGAAGCTAGGAAAGTCAATAGATAGCTAGGATTTGATGCCCCAACCGGAAAGACTAGACCACAGGTGATTTCATCTAAAGGTCACAATTTCGTTTGTAACACTACAAATACCCCCACCATGTAACAATGAAAGGCTAATACAACTTTAAATACTTGAAATAACTTATTTTAATGATATGTTATCTTTAAACGGGGTTCATAGCGTTTGGTTATCATGATACAATCGTATCTAGGATATCTTTCTGGAACGCGAACAGAAACGTCTCGTGTCGTGTCGTTGAGCTTTTCTCACGTCCAATTTTAGAGTAATCTCGATCGTTTATTCATCCTAATGGGTTGGATCTAGCTCACACATCCATGAGTGAGTCCGGTATCTGTTGAGTTCATTTTTTGGGGTTAGAAAGATTCAACTTAGATCTATGTTAAGAGAAAGTCATGTATCTGAATTATGGGGACACGATACAAATTCCTAAGGGGGTAAGAGGACAGATGTCCTACGCAAGTTAACGGCTTGGGCACGAGGTTTGGATCATTACATTAACCGTGAGTGCAAGTTGATTGAAAGTACTATTAATCTGTTGATTTGTATTGATTTAGGAGGCATATTTATGTTGATTTTGACCTGTTTTGAGGTCAATATTGACCAATTTGAGTAGTTTTCGACAAGCTAGGTTCAATTTAACTCAAGTAGTGTCGCGTCTAGCAAGCATATTTAAGATATTTACATGAAAACAAGG